CTCCCTTGGCAAACTGACACACTCCCACGGCTTCAACTATCACCTCTACGCCGATGACACGCAAATTTACCTCTCCACCCCTCAACTCACCCCTTTAGTCTCTGCCCGTATCACCCACCTGCTGAACGACATATCAGACTGGATGTCGCTCCACTTCCTCAAACTGAACCTTTCAAAAACCAAGCTTCTAATTTTCCCCCCAGCCCGAGCCCCCCCCTCCATCACGACCAACAACGCCACCATCAGTCCCACCCCGCAAGCCAAAGTCCTAGGTGTCGCTCTAGATTCAAACCTGTCCTTCCAACCCCATGTCCAATCGCTAGCAAGCTCATGCGGGCTCCACCTCCGTAATATCTCCAAAATACGTATGTTCCTAACACCAGGCACTACTAAACAACGTGTTCACTCCCTCATTATCTCACGCCTGGACTACTGCAACTCCCTCCTCACCGGCCTACCTCATCACAGACTATCCCCGCTTCAGTCAATCCTGAACTCAACGGCCAGACTCATCCACCTTACCAACCGCTCCTCTTCTGCCACCCCCCTCTGTCATTCCCTCCACTGGCTCCCGATTGCCCAACGCATCAAATTCTAACTACTAATACTGACATACAAAGCCATTAATAACACTGCCCCAAACTACCTCACCGACCTAATACCAAAATACCACCCAACCCGTAATCTTCGCTCCTCACAAGACCTCCTACTTTCTAGCTCCCTGGTCTCCACCTCCCTCCCCCAACTGCAGGACTTCTCTAGGACTTCCCCCATCCTCTGGAACTCACTACCCCAATCCATCAGACTGTCACCTACCCTCCTCAGCTTTAGGCGCACCCTGAAAACCCATCTCTTCAGGGAAGCCTACCCCACCCTCACCTAACTGCCAATCTCCTCCACTCCTCCTACCACTCCATCCCCCACAGCCACTTCCTCCTGTGCCATTAACCCCTCCCTCCTAGATTGTAAGCTCGAAAGAGCAGGGCCCTCGAACCCCTCGTGTATTGTTACTGTACTGTCTCATGTACTGTCCCCCCCACTATAATGTACAGCGCTGAGCAAACCCTTTGGCGCTATATAAAATACTGTATAATAATAATGATAATCTTATATGTATTTTTATGGATTTATTATAAGCTGAGGAGCAGGCATTCGGTAGGAAGGTTCTGCAAACTGTGGTCCCACCCTAAGGGGGCAAGTTCTCGTTTATCATCTCATGTGCTGTCCTAAAAGACTTTTTGAGAAAATCCAAGTTAGACTTACTGGTAAGTAGTTTTCTAGGAGTCTTTCAGGACAGCAATAATTGCCTGCCCTGATATTGTTTATGCTGTTGTGCTTATGTTTTTCTGATGGGCTGGAAGTACTCTTCGACAACTGAGGACTGTGGGGAGAGGGCTTCAATTTAAAGGCTGATGTGGGTGTGTTTCCTGCGTGAGGACGAGGAGCTGCGTTCTCCCATGTGCTGTCCAAAAAGACTACTAGAAAACAATTTACCGGTAAATCTAACTTGGTTTTTTCTGTTTCAATATCCACCAAAAACAGAAAAGTAAAAAGATACTGTATATGACAAACATGGTAAAGAGTGCATGCCCAAACCCACAAGCACCGTATGCAACAGCTTATACACATTACAAATCAAAAACCGGTAGAATAAACATAGCCAAAGAATTTCACATGAACGTCAAACAATATATGGAGAACACCATGCCAACTGGTAAACTCTGTATGGGTGGATAGGAGGGCCTAGATCCCCTCTGAGCCCCCCAGTGGGCCATGGACCCAAGCCCTCTGCATGGAAGACTTATGGCAGAATGAAAATGTTAACCAGAAAAGAACGGGTAAATACGTAGCTATGAAAATCCATGTCTTCGGGACCCAGCTCTCCCAGCCCAAAAGCCGGGAAAGGAGCCAAAAGAACAAGAGAACTCATCTGTTGTGCCACATCATCTAGCCCCCATCCACCTGATTACTAGGAATAAATTGCATATAACTCAACGCTGACATGTTATACCAAAACTTTATTGCAGCAACTGATTGTAAAATTCAGAGGTCAAAACGTCACTCCACAAAGCCCAAGTGTTAAAATATATTTCTCATAATTATCTGAACATTGATGCCACCATTCCTCCAAATGCTGAATTTGCTGTACCTTCACCAGGCACTCTTTAAGGGCTTGTTCATACCATGGTGTAGAGAGATCGTTTTTTTCTGCATGCCTTCTGCAAGGGCACAAGTGCCCTGTTCACACAGTAACGCTACTATCACGTGCAGATTTTTTTCTATGCAGGAATCTGCAATGTGTATAAAACTCATTGAAGCGCGCATGAAAACTGATGTAAACTGATGTCTCTGTAAGTGAAATATGTGCGTCAGTTTTTCTGCACGTATGGTGTGAGCGAAGCCTAACAGTAAGGACCACTGTGGTCTTCCAGTAGATGGGTATAAGGCTTTTACCGGTATTCAGAAGATGGGGCACCAACTAATGCTTATGGGAACCTATGGAGGAGTGTGTGTCATGGAAAGTCTTTATTTAGTTGAAGGACAACAAATTGTAAAAGACAAAGCCATTGCATATAAACAGGAGCTGAAGCATAAGCATACCCAGGATAATAATTCAAATGTTAAAACACCAGTACAAATTCCTCAAAGGCTCACTTTCCAGCAAAAACACAATTCAGAGTACATTTCTCATGGTAAATATCTAGCTTTAACCCAAGCAACCCAAGGTCTCCAAACATTCTCAAATGTGATAGTTATAGCCTTCCTTATATCTAGTAACTTCTCATAAAGATAATGAATTTTAATCATGTCAGCAGGTTCAGACAGGTTGGTTGCAAGATTTTGTTTCTAAAACCTAGTAATAGTCATTCATGCTTCTAAAAGGATGTGGGTAACCACAGTATGGAAGGGGGGCCGTTGATAGTAGATAGTAGGGGGCCCGGGCGCACGAGGGCCTGGACAGCAGGGGATATCGGTGCAGTGTGGCGGAGGGGCAATTACAGAAATATGTCTCTCCCGGCTGCAGCTGAAAGCCGGTTTTCTCCCTGCCGCCCGCTTTCAGCTGCTGCCGGGAGAGACACAGGACATCCTTCTGTAATTGCTTCCCCCCCACACCGATCCCTTGTCCTGTTCTGCCTGCTTTTGATTCGCTCACCTTATTGCAGTGCTGATGACATCACCTGTATCGGCTGGCAGCCGTGGACACAGTGGATGTGTCAGGATGGTAAATTTTATTTACTGTCCCCTTCCTTTTTTGAATGGACAAAGTGAGCGATCGGTACTGATCAACCCTGTGTGCATAGATAACTGAAGTATAGTAAACTGTGTTTACTATGCTTCAGTTTATGAATGAACAGGAGTCTCTGTCTCCTGTTCATTCACCTTCAGTGCTAAGGCTACCGAGAAAGGAATTGGAGAACCTGTGTCCTCAATTTCTTTTTCTGTTTCAAAGATGAGATGCCAGGGGTCTGTTTGACCACTGATATCTCATCAAATCACCCCCCCCCCCTTCCCCCCAAACAGTAAACAACCAAAAAAGATTGTTAAATGTAATTTTTAAAAAACATTTAAGGGCTCATTCACATGGGTTTTCTGGCCCATACAATGTGAATGAACTGTTTCTGCAGTGGGAGCCATCTGTTACTTTACTAGGATGCAGCAGCTGTATGAGGCCCTAATCTGATAATAGGTGTGGGTGAGTGGTCCTGGATGCACACTGTCAATGTTCGGGGTCCATACACCTGCATCCACATGCCTCTCAGGGGACTTGAGGCTGTGTTCATACAGCTGCGCCGTCCCCATAACTCAACATAAGCTGCCTGCACACAGCAATAGCCACATTTACAAAAAAACACTGATTCACCCTGTACAGGCCACAGCACATATGTGAATAAGCACCAACACCTCTTTTACACACAGAACTTTATTTATTAACTCAATACACATTTATCTTTTACATGTAGGAGGAATTTTGTAAGCTATGTTATATTTGTGTCCACTCAAGGCAACAATACTCCCTTGGACTTTAATGCAGCTAACAAAGTATCTCACAGATGTTTACATATATAAAAAAATTATATACTTTATTTTACAAAATTTTCTAAGAAACCTCAATACATTATAAAATACACTAGCAGCGCTGACACGATTTATTCAGCATAATCCCCTCTATAGAGTAAAAAAAAACAAGATAATATACATGATACTCCCCAATGGGCCCCGACTCGTTTGTCATTCCAATCCAAGATATTCTTCAGGGGGCATAAGAAGAAGGGGATCTAATGCATCAATTGAATTACTCACATGTATCATAGCAATCCTAAAAACAGTGGCGTTCACCACCAAATTGCATGCCTCGGTGAATGATGGCATGAGTAACTGAGTACATGAGTGGTCACGTGAACATCTCAAAAAGCTGGCAGCAGAGGAAAAAGTCAGTCCACCTCACATTGGCAACAAAATCACTCCTTGGGGTCACATATACCAAGTGGGACAAAAGAACCAATTGTTCCTCTTCCATATTAGTAGGAGCTATATAAGATTTCATTGCTTAAGCTTGCCCCACATCACTCCATCATGATCTTATGGGAATGGGGTGAGGCTGGCAAAAACCTCTTGGCAAAATACCAGTACATACACCTTCAGATTCCACCAAGATTTTCATTGTCTCAGGGCTGGCCTGTTTTAATGGAGGTGGAAATCCCTGCTATACTGAAAATCTTGGTGGATTTTCTAGTAATAGAAAGATTTTTTTTAAGGGAAATAGGCTGCCACATATTGGCAAATAAACAAGAATAGAAATCATTTGTAGGGACTAAACTTCGTTTAACCTAACTTCATATTTTCTTGGAACAGTTTGAGCATTATTTATATTTTCTTACATATTGCAATTTACTTTATAGTTGAGTAGAAACTGCAGTTTATGCAGCATGTGAAAGAAATAACGCTAAAAGATATACATTTTTATGCCATTAATAGCATTTTTTTTATTTTTATTTTAGTGCACTCCATATGTGCTGTTCACCATTCTAAAGCTATTCAGCTGTCTAAATTATGAGCCTCCCAATGCAGAAAAGTTCTATAAGGTGTGCATACAGCAATATCTAGCTGATCTTGGTAAGTACATATGAATAGTTTGTCGTTGTCATTGTCATTGTCATTTTGAGCTGGGAAGAGCCAATGTGTTGACTAAACATACCAATGTTCATGAGTAAAAGCTGGTCAGTAATTTTATATTTTTTTTTTAATCTCCCCTGAAAAAATGTTCTTTTCTATGCCAAACGCCTTTAATCAATGTTATAGTAGTAGAATAAATGTTTTAGGTTGGTTTCTGGTTGACCTCCTAAAGGTAACGCATATATGTGTTGGCAAGAAAGTTGTGCTTTAATGCCCAGCCACTACACATGCATCCACAGTTGCATAGGGTTGTATGCCTAGAGCACATTGACCAAGATGTCCTTGACAGCTCTTGGTCTTTCTGATCCAAGCCAACAGGACAGGCTTCTGATCATGTGACCACTGAGAGCCAGACAAAGAGGTCACACAGTACAGAAGCCATGTCGCCATGGATATTAAAGCCCACTGAAAGGGCCTCCGGTGGACAGAGTTACAAGTTTGAAGGGCTACTAAAGCAACAAGTCAAAGTACTCATAAACAACCTTAACAACAAAATTTCCTGCTATGCTTTTTGAACAGGAAGATCTTCTTGTTTCTTTCTGCATAATAAATAAAAAAAATAAATCCTATAATGGGGAGAGTGGAAACTCCACATAATGGCCACAGCAGGTGTTGCAGAGATCTTCAGCTGAACCAACTAATCGATATAATCAATTACAATTGACTATGAAAATAGTTAATTATTTTCATAATTGATTAGTTGGCCTGCACACAGAGTACATTATCTGTTTATATTTCAGAAAATACAGTGCAGCACACATACAGCTCGGTGTGATTAGCAATATGGGATATGTAGTCCTGGGCAGGAGAAGGAAGTGTTTTAACCGCTTCTCATCTGCCCTATAGCAGAAATACTGCTACAGGGCGGCACAGGTGCGCAAAATCACATGTGCATATACGTGATTTTGCATTTTCGAGTAAGGGCACGCGTGCCCTACCCACGCCGCCATTCATGGCTGTGGCTGTCTGCCACCGGGTCCCGGCCAGTAATTGCTCACCAGCACCTAGTGATTTCCGAAGATCTCCGACAGGGAGGAGGACTGTTTTGTTTACTAACAGTCCTCCTCCCTGTCAGCTCAGGCACACAGCTGTGGATGGCTGTGCACAGCCATCCAGAGCAGTGTGATTACAGTGAAGCACACAGACACTAGTAAAACACTTTCTGCAAACAGCTAACCCTTTTATTGGCCCTCATGTTAACCCCTTCCTGCCCAGTGCCATTACTACAGTGTCAGTGCTGTTTTTTTTTTTAGCACTGATCACTGTATTGGTATCACTGGGGATGTCAATGGCACCAAGTCAGTTCCCCCCAGTGCCAGAATGTCCACCGCAGTCCCGCTATAAGTCGCTGATCGCCACCATTACTAGTAAAAATTTTAAAAAAATTCCAGTATATATACCGCGATTTGTAAACATAGCTTTCACATAAACCAATTAATTTACAAATTTGATTTTTTAAAAAAATTTTAATGAACATGTTTAATAGCAAGACGTCAAAAAAAATATTGTTGTTTTTTTTTTCTCAAAATTGTCGGTCTTTTTTTTTTTTTTTTCTTTCTTTTATAGCGCAAAAAAATAAAAAAACAATCAAATACCACTGAAAGAAAGCTCAATTTGTGGGGAAAAAAGGATGTAAATTTCATTTGGGTGCAGTTTTGCATGACCTTGCAATTGCCAGTTAAAGTAACACAGCGCCGTAATGCAAAAAATGTCCTAGTCAGGAAGGGGGTAAATCCTCAGGAGGGCAAGTGGTTAAAGTGATTATAAAGGCAGAAGTCTTTTTACCTTGCTATAGGAGCACTCCATACTATACTTTGCGGTTTGCTATAGAAGCACTCTGATGGCAGGAGTAGCCAGAAGTGCCGGTGGGGGGCCCCAGAACAGGAGAATTAGGCTGCTCTATGCAAAACACTGCAAAAAGTGTCAAAAGAAGCCCTGGTCTTAAAGTGGATAATGCCTGAAGGTGCCTGGATGACCAAAAGTCTCACTCATGTGGTATCCCCATTTTCAGGAGAAGTAGCAGGATGTGTTTTTTTCAGGTATAGTTGCAAGTATGCCTATGCCATGTGTGAGAAATAGCTTTTTTTTTTTACAAAAATGTCATATTATTTACTTTATTTTCCAAAGAATTGTGGGGGAAAAAAAATTACAATTTCTGTTGTCAACAGTCATTGGGGGGATACTTGTACTGTCTTGTTAGTGTCTCCAGAAATGAGGCTGTCAGTATATCAGTTGTGATGAGGTGTGATCAATTTTCAATGATTGCTACCATAGCTTGTAGACTCTCACTTGTATAACTTTCACACAGACCATATAATATACACAGATTTGGGTTATTTTTACCAAGGCAATGTAGCAGTACACATTATGGTCAAAATATATCAAGAAAAGTTACTTCTTTGAAAAAGTTTATAACTGAAACCAAGAAAAACTTTTTTGTTTTTTCAACCTTTTTGGTATTTTTTCATTTATAGCGTAAAAAATAAAAAACTCAGTGGTGATTAAATGCCACCAAAAGAAAGCACTATTTGTGTGAGAAAAATGATAAAAATTTCATAAGGGTACAGTGTTGCATAACTGAGTAATTGTCATTCAAAGTGTGAGAGCGCTGAAAATTGGCCTGGGCAGGAAGGGGGTGGAAGTACCCAGTATTGAGGTGGTTAACCCCTTCACGCTTAAGGGTAAAACAAATCTTAATGCCTAAGTACAATTTTGCAACTTTGACATGTATTAGTAAAACCATACATATCATCACAACTACTTTGTACATCCAGGTGAATTATACCTTGTTTTTTTCAGGACTAATTGGGCCTTCATTTGGTGGTAAATGGTAAAGGATATCTTCAGGTTTTTTTTTATTATCAAAGGAAAACTAGCCCAAAATAGTAAAAAAAAAAAAAAAAAAAAATTTTTTTTTTTTTTTTAAATTTAGCTGTGTGTTTTTTGTTACTACCATAACCTACCACCAAAGAACAACCCAAAATACATATTCCAGCTCTTGACAATCGTAGCAATACCATATATGTGTATGTTGTTTGTTGTTTGTACCTGTAGTACAGCTCAGAAACAATAGTTGCGTGGTTTTTTTTTACCTAAAACACACTGACACTAACTGACACTGATATCAGTTAAAAAAAAATCCTGACTTTTGACCCAGACCTTGACCCAAACACTAATCCTGGCACTGAACTAGATCAAACCTTGATCTAGGTATTTTTTCTTTATTTTTTTAATATTTATTTATATATTTTTTTTTAATAACAAACAGTTGTTTTGGGTTTTTTTTCCTCTATGCAAGGAGAGAGAGATACAATGTATCTCTTTCCTCCATTCAGAGAGGAAAAAAAAACAAGGGGGGCAGGCTGTACAGTGATTGATCACTGTGATAGCCAATCAGAGGCTATCACAGCGATCATGTGATCTGGAATCAGGAGTCCCGGGTCCAAATCGTTAGAATGGGACCCAGGGCTCTCAGTGACACCCCGGTATTTGTGTTGGGAGAGCGCTGTGCAGCGCGCTCCCAGCACAAAGATAGGTATGCAAATATGCAGCCCCACAGAAAAAAAAGCCCAGTTCTGTGAGGCCACATAGTTTTTGATGTCGGCATCAAGTGTTTAAATAAAATATTTTGATCTCTGTGTCTGATGATATGTACCAGATTCAACACTATCTATATGTCGTCTGTCTTATTCTCAGACTGGATTAGATATTTTGCTCCATAGCCATATATCTGGTTATTTATACTTATCACTGCATATAGATATTCAAGAATAAATTACTGTACATAATAACTAAATTATACACCAAACTTTTTTGAGGTTTTTATGTGATTAATCGAAGAAGTAATCTGCCAACTAATCGACTATGAAAATAATCATTAGTTGCAACCCCACAAAGATCACACCAACACTGTCAAGTGGTTTAATTTTCCAGGATCTGCCAAAATCTGAAATGGCAGTCTTTGGTCCTTGATGGGTTGATTTAAAGCTGACCATAGACTCAGATTTCTTCGGTTTCTGATGAACTGAATGAATTTCGAGCAGTGGGTGGCCGGGTCGGCACCTGCAGCCCCGGTAGATAATTGAGAACAAAGAAGGTCTGATCGGCTGCACTCCAAACAATCCACTTTACTGAACCAAGATAAAACCAATACAGACAGTGGAAATACAGTGGGGGACTGGCAGGTAAACGTGTTTCACGCTAAAGACAGCGCTTATTCATTACCCAGTGGACCCATGTACAAAGTGTTGGTTTTAAGCAACAGCTGTTCCTCCTAATCAACACTGGGTCCACCTCCTGCTACACCAAACCGATTTAAAAGTAAAGACCGTTGTGCAATGCATAAAATCCAATGCACCAACCACAGGTAACCAGGTAGATAATTCTTGGCTGAACAGGGACTGCTGTCACTGTTTCGCGGTGCCCACTGACAGTCGCAGGTGCTGGCTAGCAGAATACGAAAGACTCGTTGAATCTGTCAGCTATTTTTTTCATTTAGATCTCAGGCTAGTTTAAGTGAAAGCATAGTGAAATACTAACTAAGCCTAAACCTACCCCTGCTGACGTCACCCATAGGCTTACTATGAGGCATCCGTTGTCGGCTGTCCTTCCTCTTCATTGAAGTGGTGCTGGGACCTAAACATGTGACCAGACCTGTGCAGGCCTCAGAATAGGTATGTATAGACTTCTTTCCTTTACAGGGTAGTTACAATAGGCTTAGAATGGAGGCAGGGGTGCAAAATTTCTGATCTACAGAATCATAGCCTTGTAATCTGTAATCTGGCAAATCTTAAAGTGGAAATAAACATCCTCATTAATAAGAAATGATCCCTGGGAACTGTATGCCACAGTGTACTAGTATGCACTGCATAATGGCACCTTAATGCAGACTAGCCTACCAAATGATCCTCTCCAATGCTATGGTGTCCAAACTCTGTGCTGTCCATGATGCTTCCATCTTGTTTTCGTCTTCCTTTCAGGTTCAGACTTTTCAGCTACTGGATTGGCTGGGCCACAATAACGTCATTCCCATGCATGCGCAGGAGAGTCATATTACCTTGGTACAGAGTGGTGCCGTATATGTATGCTGAGCTGCCCATGTGTACATTAATTCTGACAAACAGGGATGAGCAGTTATTACAGAAGAGACCAATAGGCTCTCTTCTGTCAAAACATCCTACCTGTTCGCATTTTTCCCCAAGTTTAATTTAGCATAAGGGCTGCTGTTTCTGAGAGTATATGTGAGCTGGCCTAAATTTCTGTTTCACTTGTCAACCCATTTCAATAAAGAAGCAAAATACACTGCAGTAGCCAGCCCTCACACACATGTAGTGTTGGCAGCAGTGACAACATACAAATGTTGGTTCTATACTGGGCACTTCTAAACTGGTAGCTGTTGCTTTGAATGAGAGATATTTTAGCTGTTCTTGACAATAAAAAGTTCTATGGTTTAGAACTTTACTATTAGAAACAATAGTAGGTACCTCACCATACAGGCTGGGTGCTGGAAGTCTTACCATGTAGATCTAGTCTCTTCATATTATGTAGTTTCTATATACCAAGAGGGACGTCTACTAAGCCTCTCTGCAACCAGATTAGATGCAAATAAAGCTTTAGTGAAGCATATGCAGTGGTGTTTTGTGTAATTGTGACCCCTGTGTCTGGAATCCTGGGCATCAGACTAAGGCAGATTTAGCACTGGAAATTTTTACTCCAAAAAAGACACAAGAAGTGGTCAAGAGAAGGTTTTATTTTGTCACAGTGCTACTTTAGAGCAGACAAGGTAGGAATTCATGAATGGAACTGAACTTTAATAGTAAATTTGTCTTATTGCTCCTGTTTAGCTTTGCCCTGCTGTGCGACAGAATTGATACATGTGTCTCTATGTGTCTTCTTTACAGACTCCGTGTTGCCTCACGACATGGTAGAGCTGGCTCATGCAATATCTTTGGCAGGGCGCTTTCCAGAAGACTTGGTAAAATCTATATTCAATGTTGACTTCCTAAACAGACTGGATCTAGAGCTTGATGGTAAGTTGCAGGCACCTGTATGGCAATAGAGCATTTTTATGTGTATGTCTACAATTAGGAAAGTTCTTGGATGCCCAGCCCACAGCGCTTGTATTACGTAGACCTATGATTGTCAACTTACTACTGACATCGCCACTACTACATCACTGCTACTGCATATAATAATTCTTATAGGGAATGCTACAGAAGACTTCATAACTAAACAAAATGATCCTTATTTGCTAAATGAAAGGTTTAAAGAAAAACCCACTCATACACCCCCTACACAAAACACTAAACATTTAATACATTTGTGAAATTCCTTACGGTTGAAGAGAAAAGTCTAATTGAATTTTCAGGAAGTCAACAATGTATGCTCTGCCAAGGAGAAAGTGTAACACCTGGGATTCCATCATATCCTTTCCTCTGAGGAAACTACACTTCCCATCAATCTCATGGAATTGCAGTGAATGAGGGTGGGTCCACTAGGTCTGTACATGTTCAATGTGTGTACACCCAGCTGCCATTGCTATCCTCACATGTGATCACTCACCCTCCAGTCACAACAGAATAGGAACTAACTGCCCTGACATTCTGTTTTTAATCCCAGAATAAATATGGCCACATGCCCAGAATTAGATTGTTTATCCACTGTTATTTGCTGGAATCAAATATTGGAATTCTTCTTTCTATTTTTCTAACAGACGCCGCTGCTTGTATGCTTCCATGTGATCACATTCCTGGCCACAACACAACAGAAACAAAGCTCCATTCACACAGGGCGTTTCAAATTGCTGGTGGAATGGCTGTGATTCTGTCTGTGATTTGAAAATGTGCTGTGAAAATGTGAAAACGTGCTATTGCTTGTTCAGGTGCAATTCATTTCAATGGCACCTGAACACACTGGGCGTTTTTGCCTGTGATCGCAGCACATTTTTCCGCACAACAAATGCATTTTGCTTCAATTTTACCTGGGATTTTGCCACAATTTTACTTGTGATTTTGCATACGATTTTGCTGTGTTTTTACCCATGACATGATTTTGCCACGATTTTACCCACAATTTTACCAGAATTTTACCACGTTTAGGGTGAGTTTTTTCATAGGTCAGGTGATTAAAAAAAAGCACGTGTTTTTTTTATGCATTTTTGCTGTGTTTTCAGTGCATTTCAGGCCTGGTTCTCACCAGTGCAGTTTGCGTTTTGTCCGTTTTTGCTTTTCTTTTGCACACACATTTTTGAGGAGTTTTTTTTTATGCGTTTTGCTAATTTTTTTTTTTTTTTCCAGCCAACTTGTTACTGGGAATATTAAAAACGCAACATGTATCAAAAACATAACACGTGTGTGTTTTTAAAGTGCCTTTGCTGCATTTTCAATGCATTTCAGACCTGGTTCACACCAATGCAGTTTGTGTTTGTCTGTTTTACCGTACTTTTTGCAGTACGTTTTGCATGCACATTTTTTGTTTTGTTTTTTGACACATTGTCTTTTTTTTTTTTTTTGGCCAGCTTTTTGTTGGGCTAATTAAAAATGCAAAACACATCAAAAACGTAACATGTATGCTTTTTTGCTGCATTTTCAATGCGTTTCAGGCCTGGTTCAGAAAATTGAGCCTGCGTTTTTAATCTTACCAGCAACAAATTTGCCAAAAATTTTTTTTCAAAAGACACACATACAAAAATGCAAAACACACTGCAAAACTGATACAACACAAACTGCATTGGTTTTTTTTTGTTTTTTTATGAACCAGGCCTGAAATGCATTAAAAAAGCAGCAAAAATGCATAAAAAATGCACATTACATTTTTTTATCTGTTTTGCGTTTTTTAATCTGCTCGACAACAGGGCAAAACATGCATGCAAAAACACAGAACACACTGCAAGGAATAGAATAGAAGGAGGAAAGGAATACGGAAAGAAAAGGTGATGCCAACTAGGGAGGAAAGGAAAGAACCACACAACACTCCCCCAGAAAAAGACCAAAGGATCTCACCGCCTCCCATCAGTCGATCGAAAAGACTCCAGATTTGTGGAGTTCAAGCTATACGATCACCTTACCAATTGGAGAAGGTCGATTTATATTCAGTTTGAGATTGATACTGAAGCCAACACATCCATGTTTTATGAAAGTGTGTGATCCTCTCCTGCAAGACATGTATCAGCTCCTCCATGGCCAGGATTTTTTCAATACGCCTGAACCACTCAACCACCATGGGGGCGTGGTCCACACGCCAGTAGACAGGGATGTACAATCTAGAAGCATTTATCATGTACATCGCTAGGGACTTACACAATCGTTTAGGTAACCCAGAGTGGTGTAACAAGAACTGCGCAGTTTGTGTTTGGGCATGGTCAACAGGGCAAAACTGAATCTATGAGCTTTCTTGCGCCATACAAACTCTAGCATTGCGCGTTTCGGGGAAAAGAAAAAAAAGCCGCCGGTAAGGCTATAGGGACAGTTTGGAAGACATATAAGAGACGAGGTAATACTTTCATTTTAAGAATGGCTGTTCTGCCAGACCATGAGTAACATGATCAATCCTATTCGCTGAGATCCCAAACTATGGTGGATAAGAGTTTTGGGAAATTTAAACTTGTAAAAGTCCTGCAGGTCTGCAGGTAGTTGGATTCCAAGGTATGTTATGATATCTTTTTTCCAAGTAAAAGGAAAGTTGCGCACACAGTAGGTCATCTCATCGCCTGGCAAGGATATGTTAAGGGCATGGGATTTGAAGTAATTAATAGATAAATTGGACAGGGACTGGAAATGCTCCAGTGCCCGTAGGAGTTCTGGCAAGGCAGAGCGAGGTTCAGTCAGAAACCACAGTATGCCGTCAGCGAAGGTGGCTAGTTTCACCTCTCCCTTTTGAGTTCAAACCCCCCGTATCAAAGGTTTGGCGCAAAGGGACCGAAGGAAGGGCTCTAAGGTGAGAATAAAAAGGATCGGTGAAAGCGGGCATCCCAGACTCGTGCCGTTAAGTATGGGAAAGGGAGCTGACAGATGACCATTAGAGCCTACTCTGGCCTTAGACAATGCATACAGGGACACGATTCTCGAGTAAAACTGATGGCGTAAACCCAAGGAGCTCAAAGTCAGCTCCATGTAGTCTCAGGTTATTCGATCAAATGCCTTTTCGGCATCCAGGGAGAGAAAGAATCCCAGCTGGCATCTATCCATTAGTCAATGATGTACATTAAGAGCCTTGATGGTATTGTCCCTTGCCTCCCTGCCCGGAACAAAGCCCACTTGGTCCAATCCTATCTACCCCGAGAGAAAGGGTAAAAAGCCAATTCGCCAGCATTTTTGCATACAATTTAATAACCACATTGATCAAAGATATCGGTCTATAGCTCTCTACTCGTGTGACCTTACCCGCCTTCAGAATGAGCGTAATATGGGCCTACAGCAAAGTTGATGAAGCAACAGGGAAGTCCTTGAGGGAATTAAGCGGTTTCAGAAAACGCAACGTCAAAGCAGGTTGGAAACACTTATAATATTGAGCCGAGAGCCCATCTGGACCAGGAGTCTTTCCTACTTTCATTTGCTTCAGGGCCTGGTCCAGCTCCTGTGCAGAGAGAGGGGCCTCCATGGGTTTGTTCTGGAGACAGGGCCGGCAGGCTATGTTTAGCCAGATAATTCCAGCGTCTGCGTTGTCCTAGCTCTTCCTTAAGCTCCTGTCAGAGTAGAATCAACTTAGACCAGGTCGATTGTGGTAGTGAGAGTTTGTGTGTGCATGTTCAAGATTAGTTCTTTCCGACATGAGATCTTGAAGCTTACGCTGATGTTCTATTTTGAGGGCCGTCTGCATAGTATAAACTCTCCCCAAATCACACATTTATATGCCTCCCATTATGTCGGGCATTTCATTGAGAGTAAAAAAAGACTGAAGATTCGGCTGCAACGTCTGTACTCTCAAGGGGTCACTGAGGAGGAAGGAGTCTAAGTGCCAGCATTTCGTTCTAAATTCCTTTTCAGGAAACGTCAAAGTCATAGAGATGGGGTGTTGATCCGAAAGGATCATAGGGTCAGTGGTAGCAGACATCAGATAATGTAAGTCATCTTGAGACCTAAAGAGGTAACCTATGCGTGAATATTACTGGTGAGGTGGGGGAAAAGAACGTATAATCTTTCACAGAGGGATCTAAAACACGCCAGGACTCATGAAGCGAGAGGTCAGAAAGGCATTGCTTAATGTAGCTCAGGGCCGTAAAGGGGTACAATTCTCAAAAGAAGCCCACCTGTCTCTCATTGGGGCAATAAATGTTAGACAAAGTAACTGGACAGTGGCCAAGTTTGCCTTTTAAGTAGTAAAAATCGCCCATTAGGATCTGCCTTTCTAGCCTGGAGAGAGAACTGCAGGTTTTTAGAAAACAAGTTACCCCCCTTGGACTTGGAATCCACCACAGCTGCATGATACACCACTGGAAAACTGGAATTAGTAAGTTTGGGCACACAATCCAATCTAAAATGTGTCTCCTGTATAAACACTATGTGAGCCCTTTGCTTGTGGAAGTCATGGAGGAACTGGGAATGCTTCTCAGGAATATTAAGGCCCTTGGCGTTCACATAGAGCATCTTAAGGGAGGAGGGACGATGGAGGGTTGATCGTCCAAAGTTCCCTATGCGGTGGGGGGCTGGCATTCTCAATCCCCCCTAGCAGCAATCAACAAAAAAAAAAAGGGGGGGGTAAGAGGGGAAGAAGAGAAAAAAGAGAGAGGGGGGACTGAAGAGGGGAGGGGGCCTGAAAGAAGAGAGAGAGAGAGAGAGAAGTCCCACTAGCCAGTAAGGAGAGTGACAGCAGGAACAGACAACAAACAACCGAACTGGTCCAACGGTATAAAACCCAGACCCAGAGGAGGATTCCCCGCTGGGTGAGGGTAATAAGGAAAAAAAAAAACACAAGTAGGATCTGAACTCCGAGGGGAGAAACCAGCATGTATATTGTATATAAAGTCAGCAACAGCACCTGGGATAAGGGAAATAAAATAAAAAGGGTAAAAAAGGAAAAGGGGACAAATCACAGATCACATAGGTCGGACAGGTAAGCGAGCACATGTACAGAAATACGGCCCTTGAAGGACCCGGTCCCACACCCACCACACCTCACCTTAGACCCCCATCCCTGAGGGTCGCATCAACACCCGTACAGCTACTGGCGCTTACGCCCCCTGGAGACGTAGGCCCCCCCCACCTCCCGACCAGAGCCCCACGCCCACAGGGAGGGCCGCAAAGCAATACCCGCGCTCGAGCCCCAGAAGGGAAACTCCCCAACCAGGTCCCGAGGCCCCTACCAACGCAGTCCCCACACGGGAAGAGGGGGGGGGGGGTGAGAAGCAAACTCCTTGCTCCACCATGTCACAGAAAGGGGGCAGGCATAAAATAACATACGTAGCAATATGTATCTCAGCATAAGCTAACGGTTATGGCCTACAATTGCACACTCCGCAACCTATGCTAGGGCAAGGCATGCTAACCAACTAACTGGCATCCATCAAGAACACATAGCAAAAAAGTACTTGCCATCTCCAGGTTATACAGCATAACATAAAGTCAGATGTAAATTCCCTGGCCCCCAAGCTCAGCTGTTGCAGACCAAGGACAAAGAAGTACGGTGACGAAACACTGTGGTACTGAGAATGTAGATCAGACCGCTGACCAGCATGGAAGCGTATCAAAAGGCCATGTCCCCTCAGTGCAACGAGAAAGATGGTAGGCCCCCTGGAACAGCAAACGAGGGCAACAGGCTGGCGGATTAGGCGACCTGGTCTTCCTAACCCCCCTCCACTACCCCAGACGGCAGGCAAAGGGCAGAGTGTGCTCTATCGGAGTGGACTCGCTCGATGCCATCTAGGCAGCAGTCATCCTGCTGCCAGGTTTCGGGGAGTCGGAAGTCCTGATACCACTCCGGCACCTCCACCATAGGGATTTGAAGTGCCTCACAAAAAGACTGCAGTTCTTTCGGATTCCGAAGGACATAGGTACAGCCCCTACAGATAGCAGACAGGCTAAAGGGGAATCGCCATTTGTATGCAATTCTGTGTTCATGTAGGGCAGATGGTAAGGGCCGCAGGGCTCTTTGGTTTTGCATGGTGATCATAGAGAGATCCTGAAAAATCTGTATGGTAGCCTTATTAAAAGTTAGTAGTTCCTGCTCCCTAGCCCTCTGCACCACTTCCTCTTTCAGACGGTAGCTCACAAAACAACAAATCACATCCCGTGGTAGGTCTGTATCTCTCCGTCGGTGCATGAGTGCTCTATATATTTGCTCCAACTCTACCAAGATGTCCCGAGGCCCCTCTAGGAGATCATTGAAAAGCATCTGCAGAGCGCATGGTAGTTGGTCATGCTCCACAGTCCAGATCCTCAATGTGTTTCTGCATAGCGATTGAATGTAGATTATGGCGACCGGTCATTTGGCGCAGGTCCGTAATGGCAGAGTCATGTTGCCCGACTGTGTTCTCCACCGCCTCTATTTGGGCCGCCACAGAATGTAAATCGGATTTGAGGATGGCATTGGCCGCCAAAAAGGTCTATTTGATGTCTGGCAATACCCTGAAGATCCGACATCTTTTGTTGCATAAGTGAGAGGAGTGATGAATCACTTGCCACATTGCGGTCTGTCACAGGAGAGTGTCTAGGAGAGGCCGAGGCGGCCGCCCCCGCCCTGAGGCAGGCCCGAAGATCAGCCCGAGCAGCCCTGCGGCGGATCAAAGGATTGCTAGCAAAAAAATCTCTGGTAAGTTTGAGCCCAAGTTCGGGAGTGGGGCGTCTTAGTTGCGGGAGGGTACCTTCCATCGCTTAAATATCCCGAGATAGAAGCTGGAATCTTCCGTCAAAGTCAGTGCTCCACTAACATGAGGCCATCTTCAGCTACGCCCCAATTTCTTTTATTTTAACTTTCAATGATAACGCTAAACAGGACAAATAGGACGAATCTCCCTAACGGGCGCAGACAACAATAAAAACTTAGAGGTTCTAATGCCTCTCCATTCCATTCAAACTAAAAAAAAAAAAAAAAAAAGTTGACTTTAGTTATACTTTGATTGTTTCAATGAAACAGTATAATCATACAGGTTATAGCAAGAAAGAGCTAAGGGAATGAGAAAAAAAAACCCAAACCAACTCCACATGCAGCACAGTAAAGCCTTCTTAAATCAGAAAGTTTTTACTTTACATTACATATTAGATATCTAAAAAATAAGAGGATAACTCCTTATTTCTAGAGTGTGGGTGGAGCAGTGGAAATCATTCCTTTATGCCCCATCAACCAGGTGCACATTTAGAACTGTGGTGTACAGTGCAAATGTAGCCTAATGTTATGAAGTCGTTTGTTCTAAACTGTTTAGATCAGTTTTAGGGTTTTTGGCCATCACCAGTACATGGCTTCTAAGGAATAGGACTTGAAACACAGTGAGATGGTAATGTTTAAAGTGATCCAACCATTCTTTCATTTTGCTAACATATCTAACAGTACAAGACTTTTTTTTACTCCCTTATATAATGTCTAAGATTTTTAGATAGCAGCTATGTCAAAATTTGAAATTGAATCAGTGAGTCTGATTAAATACAGTGACATTTCTCCTTTCCGATGTTTTTTTTTTTTTTCATCTAATTGATCTTGAGAATTTTTTAAAAGCTCAGTTTCAGTCTAATGTTAATGTATAGCTTTGACTAGCACATCAGAGGCATTAGGAATTGAAGATCTGTAAATTTAATTACATTGACTTACCTCTTTCTTTTTTTTTTGCAGTTACTGAAACTGAGAAATCTGTGATTGTTAGGAAGTTTCTGATGGAATTAAATCGAGCTGTATGTATTGAGTGCCCAGAGTATCAGATTCCCTGGTTCCATGACCAAGTTTCTCAACAGCTGCAATGGAGAGGTGAAGTCTTGCAAGAGTCTGTTGTTTAACCAGTTGCTGTTTGCCCTATAGCAGATTTACTGCTACAGGGTGAACTTCCAGTGCAAAATCACATATATAAACATGATCCGTGTTACCGGCATGTTCACAGCCTCGATCACGCACCAGACCTAGGCCAGTGATGTGTGTGATGTGGCCTGGACCTGCTGATTGGTTGTACCGAATTGGAGATCATCCCGTGCCTGTGTTTACAGAACACTGGCACAGGAAATGATGCAATCTTCTCTCTGGAGCACATTCTGTTCCAGAGAGAGAAGAAAGCAGATCACTCTTCCAGTCAAAGCAGCACACTGACACAGTAAAAGCACAGCCAGGCCACATTTAACCCCTTGTTTGTCCCCCAGCTAACCCTTTCACTGCCTTGTCACCAGTATTATTAGTATAGTATGCAGATTTTTTTTTATTGATCACTGTATTGTGACAGGCGACTTCAGATAGTGTCAGCACAAGTTAGCTTCCCTCCCTGATAGCGTCAGATTGTCCGTCACTCCATTACTATCACATTTAATCCTTTGATTGCCAGGAACATGCTCACATGTACACTATAAACTTCTATTGCTAGTATAGTGTCTGAATGAATCAATATCTTTGAACAGATCAACGTTCACAATAGTATAGCGTCCCCAAAAATGCTGCGTTGGCAGGATCAGCCCTGACACCTGCCAGCATCTGCAATTGGCCCCTCTGTCAGTAGATCCCTCTATTTTGATACATTACACACAAAATTGCAGCATTGGCAAGATCACGCCTGATCTCTGCTAGCACTTGCAGGTCATTTTTTTTTGTAGCAGTTCAAGCAGTCCCTGTCAGGTGCTCTTTTTCCTGTGAGTCACACTAGGTACCTATAAAATGTTCAGTGAAAGGTACACTAGTAAAGAGGCCTACAGGATTCTGATGTAAAAAAGGAATGAAAGAAGGCGCCACTGAGTGCAGACCATTAATATTTAATTGTAAACAATGGTGTAAATGAACACTCACATTTTAAAAGATAGATTAAGGCACATCTGTAGTCCAGTGCAATGGTATCCAGGAGCGGAAGATGTGACCGGAAAACCACTGTGTACTGCGGTGGAATGCAGGTGGAGCGCAACGTACGGCATAACTACGTCATCAGAAAATAAGCAACTACGTTTCAACGACACCAACTCACCCCATGTATACAGGAATCACCAGCAGCCTTAGTACATCCTGGTCTTTTACATACCAGCCACCAAGAATTCAAACAAAGGCCCGTAGAACCTATAGTGTCCTTCTGGATGTGCTTGCAAATGTTGATTGGCAGCCCACAAACCGTATAGTGTCCTTCTGGATGTGCTTGCAAATGTTGATTGGCAGCCCCCAAATTTGCATGACCCTGATATATGATACTCCCCCCCCCCCCCCCCCCCCCCCTTACCCCCCCCCCCCCCCCCCCCCCCCCCTTCATAGTCCAACCTGGAATTCCCGGTGGAAACAGCAAATGTAACTACTCCCATTAATTTTTTGGAGCTGTTTTTTGTGTAAGATCTGGATTGATTGTGGACCAAAGCAATTTATATGCACCGCAATTTATCGCCGCCAACCCAAATTCAAACCTTGCCAGACAATTTGCATGGAAATCTATTATGGTTTCTGAATTTAAAGTTTTATTGGGCCTAACCCTCAACATGGGCATTACTAAAAAGAATGAGTCCAGGGTCATATTGGTCCACAAACCTTATGTTTGAGGAGGAAGAACAAGGCTATAGATTAATTAATTATGCCCGTATACTTTGCTACCATGGCCAGGCATAGATATAATACGATTTATGCATTTCAGTGACAATACACTGTCATCCTCGGGGTGACCCTGAATATGATAGGCTCCACAAAATTCGGCCTCTCGTAAATCACCTTAACCAGAAATTTGCAGACATATATACAGTGTACCTTAGTTTTACAAACAGCTCGGTTAATGTAATTTTCGGTTTACAAATGAAAATCCATTGAAAATAATGCCACGGTTTACAAAATTTTTTACAATTTTTTTTTTGCAATACGAAGTGCATGTCGGTGCCAATTTTTAAATGCAATTGTTGGTTTTTTTTGTCTTCACTATAGCTCACAGAGCTGTCACTTTCCCCGGAGCGAAAGAAAGCTTTGTTTCTTTTAGGAAACTAAAAGGAAACATTGCTTCTTTTAACTTGGGGAAATAAACTAAAAAGAAACTTTCTCTTTTAGCTGGGGAGAAAGTGACAGCTGAATCTCTGAACTATAGTGAAGAAAAAAAAAAAAGCGGTAATTACATTTAAAAAACCGGCACCATACTAATTAAAAAAACGGCGTGAGGTTCCCACCTCCCATCCATACCAAGCCCTTCGGGCCTGTTATGGATTTGAGGGGAACTCCCACGCAAAAATTTTAAATGGCATGGGGGTCCCCCCCCAAATTCCTACCAGACCCTTATCCGAGCATGTAGCCTGGCAGGTCGGGAACGGGGGGGGGGGGGGGGACCATATCAGGCCACATGCCCTCAACATGGGAGGGTGCTTTGGGGCATGGGGGCTCCCCTCCCCCCAAAGCTCCTTGTCCCCATGTTGATGGGCCTCTTCCCCACAACCCGGGCCGGTGGTTGTTGTGGGGGTCTGCAGCCAGGGGGCTTATCAGAATCTGGAAGCCCCCTTTAACAAGCCCCAAAATCACGCCCCCCCCCCCCCATGTGAATGAGTATGGGGTACATGATCCCGATACTCATTCACAAAAAACAAAAAGTGTAGTTGAAAAAAGACAGGACACGGTCTTTGGCAAGTCCTTTATATAAGTCCAATCTTGGTGTGATCAGATATTTAAGGGCAGAAGAGAGATCTAGAGTCTAATAGACCCCAGATTTCTCAGAAAAGATTACCTGTCACTGCCTATTGCTATCACATGGGATATTTACATTCCCTGTAATAACAATAAAAGTGATTAAAAAAAAAACTTAAATGAACAGCATAAAAAAAAGAAGAGAAAAATTAAAGCACCCTTGCACACAAAGGCATACACAAGCACCGGCCCTGTGTCAGTATGTAAACAGCAGTTGCACCATGCATGTGAGGTATCGCCACAAACGGCAAACCGAGATTATAATTCTAGCACTAGACCTTCTTATGTAACTGAAGTGGTGACCTGTGAAAGCTTTTAAAGTGTCGCCTACGGGTATTACAAATTTCCGTAATCTGGCGCTGTTGCATGGGTGCGCACAATTTTAAAGCATGTCATGTTTGGTATCCATTTACTTGGCATAACATCTTTTATATTTTATCAAACAATTGGACAATATAGTATATTATAAAATCTCTGCGCAAGTACTGTGTGAAAACTGCAGCACCCACCATTTTATTCTCTAGAGCCTCTGCTTTAAAAAATATATAAAATGTTTGGGAGCTCAATGTAATTTTGTAGCAAAATATACAGATTTTTTTTTCATGTGAACAAATGTCAGAAAAGTGTCAGAAAAGGCTTGGTCTTCAAGTGGTTAGAAGAGTGGGTAATGTGTGGCACAAGCTTCTAATGCTGGGCATAAAATGCGAGGATAACATCCCGAGTATAGGGTTACCACATGTGAGAGACTTTGGCATTCTTGCATTCAGGACCCCAAAATCCAATAAGCACCTTCAAGCTTTTAAAGGGCTTTATTTCCTCATGACGCTTAGTGACTATCGCAGTTTTGGGGACCCTGAAATGCCACAATAGTGCAAAACCTCCCAAATGATCCCTTTTTGGAAAGTAGACACTCTAAGGTATTTGCTAAGAGGCATGGTGAGCATTTTTCAGATCTCGTTTGTTGCCACAAGTTTTTGGAAAATTAAGAAAGAAAACAAAAATGTATTTTTCAAAACCTTGTGACAAAAAATTAGATCTGCAAAATATTCACCATGCCATCTCTTATTAAATTCCCTGGGGTGTCTACTTTCTAAAAATGGGTCATGAGTTGGGGATTGTGCTCTATTGGTATTACAGGGCCTCTGAAACTGTGATAGGTAATGAGGAAGTGAAATGAGGAAATTATGCACCTTCAGGCTTTCAAAGGAGTCATTGGATTTTGGGCTTCTGTATGCGGCTAGGCTCCCAAAAAGTCTCACACATGAGGTATCCCCATACTCATGAGAAATAGCAGAATATATTTTGGGGTTTAATTCCAAATATACCCATGGTATGTGTGAGCAATAGACCATTTAAATGACAACTTTGTGTAAAAAAAAAAAGAAAAAATAATTTTGTAAATTTCCCAAAACTTGTGGGAGAAAAATAAATCTTCCATGGACTCAACATTCCTCTCAGCAAATAGCTTAGGGTATCTAATTTCCAAAAAAGGGTGATTTGGGGGGTGTTTGTACTGCCCTGGCATTTTAGCACTCAAGCAATGTACTAGGCAGTCAGAAAGTAAAAGCAAAAAGAAAGCTTTATTTGTGTGAAAAAAGGATATATATTTTGTTTGGATACAGTGTCACATTACAGCACATTTACCAGTTTAACCAATAGACGCCCGGCCAATAGTCATTTGGCGGCCGGAAAAATACATTAGATTTCTGGGTGGACGCCATATGGCGTACTCCCGGGCATGCGCAGTTTGTGCACTTGCAGAGCCGCGCAGCGGCGTGATCTGTCACCCGGCCATGTACCTCGGACACGGCCAGTAACAGATCTGAGTACCGGCCCCTGTTGCCGGTACCATGTGACCTGCTGTGACCAATCACAGCAGGTCACATGACAGTTGTATACAATGGATGGCTTCATTCATGCCATCCATTGTATACTAGTGTCTAGCTGTGAATGGTCACGTCATGTGATTAGCTGTGGCCAAATCACAGCTAAGCACAAAATTAAAAAAAAAAAAACCCTGAATGAATCGATGTCATTCAGGTAAATGCTTGCTTATAGCAAAGTAATTCTTTGCTATAAGCAAATTGTGTAAAAAAAAAAACAAATACTGATCACTTCCCCAAAGCAGTACAATTTTACTATGGTAACATTGTACTACTTTGGTCTTTGTGAAATATGAAAAAAAATCTTAAAAAAAAGAAAAAAAATATAATAAAAATTTAAAATTAATGGAAAAAAAAAAAAATTATATATTTTTTTCATACATGCCAGTTATATAATGACGCTGTACTGCACTGGTGACAGTATGTAAAGAAAAATAGTGAAAATAATTTTTTAAATTTTCCGAAAAATTATGACAAAAAATACAACTTCAAAAAACTCGCCATGCCACTTATGAAGTACGGACTGTCTACTTTGCAAAAAGTGGTCATTTGGAGGATATCTGTACTGTTCTGACATTTTTGGACCTCAAGAAATTAGATTGGCCGTCAGTACTTCAGGACTGATCAATTTTCAGATCTATACCATAGTTTGTGAACTCTATAACTTTCCTACAAACTAAAAAATACATCCTAATTTGGGTTATTTTCACCACAGACATGTAGCAGAATACATCTCGGCCTAAATTTATAAAGAACAATTATTTATTTGCAAACGTTTATACCAGAAAAACAAGTTTTTTTTTCAAAATGTTTGGTCTTTTTTTGTTAATTTAGCAAAAAATAAAAATCCCAGCGGTGATTAAATACCACCAAAAGAAAGCTCTAGTTGTGTGAAGAAAATGATAACATTTTAGTTTGGGTACAATGTTGTATGACCACGCAACTGTCATTCAAAGTGTGAGAGCGCTGAAAACCTGAAAAATGGCCTGGGCAGGAAGGGGGTAAAAGTGCCCTGTATTGAAATGGTTAAGTAATGCAGCGCCGTATAGCAAAAATGGCCTGGTCAAGAAGGGGGATAAAACTTCCAGGAGGCCAAGTGGTTAAAGAGAAGCAGTGACAAGGATATGGGCTGCAGTTAGTTTAAGTTCCTTTTAAGTACAGTATTTGTGAGTTATCTAAATTAATTTATGATCCAATATGTTAATCTGGCCAAACACACTACAGTCTTAGTGTAAAATCTCTTGAATTTATCAACATCTAGAGGCCCTACCAGATGGACTATAAATTTAAAAGGTATTGTTTGGGTATGCCACTGCACTACTAGCTATTACTAAACCTAAATGGGATTGTATGATCAGATTGTGAAGTGTGTGGCCAGCTTAGGTGCATGAGGTTGATGGGATCGCAGCTGTCAGATTTCAATCTTGAACTGTATGTTAGTAAATTTTTCTGTGATAGTTTTGCATTGCGTAGGGAAGGGTCTGTGTCCTGTTGGCGAGACTCCTCTTCATTTCCTCTGGATATGCAACTGAAGCTGAGAAGATATTAGAGAGTAGTCACAGGAACAGGTGTCGCCATTGGAAGATTTCCCCTCACTTGTTTTGTTGGCAATTCTAAAATTTTGAATTTCTTATGACTATCTGCCTTGGTGGCAATGGTCACCTGGAGAAATGGAGATGGTGAATTGACCTAGGAGTGACACAGACAGCAAAAAAACATTTCATATCGAAGGACTGTTTCACACCAATATGTTTTTTGGTGCTTTTTGCAGAAAAGCACTACAATCCATTTAACATTGTTTCCTATGCAACACGTTCACATCTATGCATTTTTTAGCTGCTACATTTTTGGAAAGGGTCAGGGAATTTTTAAAATGCAAAATGGTGCATTTTTGGTTCAGTAGACTTCAATGGAAACGCTGCAGAAAAGCCTGTAGTGCTTTTTTACATGTTTTTGATACATTTTTTAATCTTCCCAACAAAAAATTGTTACTCAAAAAAAAACAAAACATGAAAAAACACAAGCCAAAAGCACTGCAGAAGCAGATCAAAAGCAAACTGCATAGGTGTAAACCAGGCCAAAACCATCCATACTCTAGCCAAAACAAAAATAATTTTTTTTTGGCATATATGTATATATATATATATATATATATATATATATGTATGTGTGTGTGTGTGTGTATATATATATATATATATATATATATATATATATACAGTTGTGTTCAAAATAATAGCAGTGTGTTGAAAAAACGTGAATAAAGCTCAAAATCCTTCTAACAGATTTTATTTCGATACACACAAATGCATTGGGAACACTACACATTCTGTTCCAAATCAAAACATGAAGAAAAATAGATCAAATTTGTGCTGTTCCTCTAAAGAAATTGAAGAAAAGTAAATATTAGACTGTTCAAAAAAATAGCAGTGTTTGTATTCTTCTTTACAAACTCAAACATTCACTATATAAACTGAAAAATGTTTGAAGATTTTGCTTTCCTTTGAATCACTTAATGAATATTTAGTTGTATAAGCACTGTTTCTGAGAACTGCTGTACATCTGTGTTGCATGGAGTCAACCAACTTCTGGCACCTGTGAACAGGTATTCCAGCCCAGGATGATTGGACTACATTCCACAGTTCTTCTCTATTTCTTGGTTTTGCCTCAGAAACTGCATTTTTGATGTCACCCCACAAGTTTTCTATTGGATTAAGTTCGGGGATTAGGCTGGCCACTCCATAACGTCAATCTTGTTGGTCTGGAACCAAGATGTTGCCCGTTTACTGGTGTGTTTGGGGTCGTTGTCTTGTTGAAACACCCATTTCGAGGGCATTTCCTCTTCAGCATAAGGCAGCATGACCTCTTCAAGTATTCTGATGTATTCAAACTGATCCATGATCCCTGGTATGCGATAAATAGGCCCAACACCGTAGTATGAGAAACATCCCCATATCATGATGCTTGTGCAACCATGCTTCACTGTCTTCACAGTGTACTGTGGCTTGAATTCAGTGTTTGGGGGTCGTCTGACAAACTGTCTCCGGCCACTAGACCCAAAAAGAACAATCTTACTTTCATCAGTCCACAAAATGTTGCGCCATTTCTCTTTAGGCCAGTCAATGTGCTCTTTGGCAAATTGTAACCTCTTCAGCATGTCTTTTTTTTCAACAGTGGGACTTTGCGGGGGCTTCTTGCAGATAGCTTGGCTTCACATAGGCGTCTTCTAATTGTAACAGTACTCACAGGTAACTTTAGACCTTCTTTGATCTTCCTGGAGCTGATTGTTGGCTGAGTCCTTGCCATTTTGGCTATTCTTCTATCCATTCGAATGGTAGTTTTTAGCTTTCCTCCACGTCTTTCAGGTTTTGGTTGCCATTTTAAAGCATTTGCAATCATTTTAGCTGAGCAGCCTATCATTTTCTGCACTTCTTTATATGTTTTCCCCTCTCCAATCAACTTTTTAATCAAGGTACGCTGTTCTTCTGAACAATGTCTGGAACGACCCATTTTCCTCAGAATTTCAGAGAGAAATGCACTGTAACCAGCATGTACAACATTTGCTGCCTTCCTTCCTTAAATAAGGGCAATAATTGCCACCTGTTTTTCAAAGAATGAATGACCTCACTAATAGAACTCCACACTGCTATTATTTTGAACATGCGTCTTTCAATTAGTGATTCAATTACACAGAATCAGCAGCATGCATGTCATGACTGTTGAGTCTGTTGGATTTCTATTTCTCTACTACACCTGCTAGTAAATTATTTGCCATGTAGAAATATAATTTCTACCAAAAACAGTGATTGATCAGGTTAGTGATGTCTGACTGCTATTATTTTGAACACAGCTGTATATACGCACACACTGGGGTGTATTTATATATAAAATTGCATAGCTGTTCATCAAGACTGCGTGTAAATTTGTTCCGTGCAAATGGGGCAAAAAGCAAATGTTCTCAGGCTATATTCTCTGCAGTTCGAAAATTTTAATGTGAAAAATGCCACATCATGGTTACTAATTGGCGCTGCCTGTCATAGAGAAGACATGTGCCTCTGCTTTATCTAATTTCCATAGTGAGGTATTTTTCTCATTCAAACAGCAGAGAGTATAGCCTAAGAATATTTACATGCAATTTCAATGGATGAACAACTATGTGATAGTTGCATAAGGCAAAGTTAGTAAAGCTAAGTAAGGGATACATGCAAATCTTGTATGCATAAACTTCTATAGTTATACCCATTTAAGACTGAATATGTAGATTCCTGTGTAAGTCTAATCATTAGAGTTTATGTTCTTAAGGTGGATTTTTTGAAAGAAACAAAGTTCTAATGTTAACTTTTGGTATAGGAGTCTGTGCTGATGAATACATTGGATTTTACAGCTGATGGAACTTTCTTTTTTTTTTTTTTTTTCCCTTTAGACGATATAAATAAAAATCTCATGTGTCGCCATATTTGGCATTTGTTGGGAGAGGCCCTCGGAGGAATACAGTATACAAGAATGTCTGTTGTTACACCATATTATTACACTGTAGGTAAGAAGATGTACATAAACGTAATCAGTTGGGGGCTTTAGACGTTTGATGTGTGTCCTAAATACTTCAATGGACATACTGCAGGGAAGTACTCCAGAGTGTCCAAACACTGTTTAGAAGCTTAGAAAAACTCTTGGAAGTACTGCCCAGACCACATAGATCTTTGATTCGAGATATATAAGCACTTTGAAAGTCTCCTTATGGTCTGGGCAGTACGTCCAAAATAGTTTTTTCTATGTGTATGTATGGGATGTGGTGCAGGAAATGAACATGAGGATGAGAAAGCTTTTCTTTGTAGTAACTGTTCAGCAGCTTCATGGAGAAATAAGATGCAACAACGTTATTATGACATTTGATCTGCATATGATGCTGGTTAATGCAAACTTACAAGGAAAAAAAAAGTTTTAAAGGAGAAGTACAGGATGTCAAAAAAAACAAACATATATATTTATTTCCATGGTGCAGCATTTGTCTGATCCTGCAGCTGTCCCTGAGACTGAGAAGCAAACGATCACTTGACCACTGATTGCTTGGTTCTCAATCTTCACTGAGCAGAGAGAAGTGACTGTCAGTTACTGGCACTCTGCTCTTCCCCTCCAGCGCTCACGGGAGTGAAAGGTTGTGGAGGGGGTGGGAGTAACTGGCTCAGACTCAGAGCTGTGCACCCAGAAGAGAAGTATTGCCAACAATAACTTTTATTGTTGTACGCATAAGTAACAAGACTGCTGACCACCCACGCAGGGGTACACAACAATGAAGGAAACAAAGCATATAGGCATGAGTGATATCTCTTTCAACTAAACATTTTGATGATGCAAAATATCAGCTAGACAACCTCACTGTTGGGGCCGTAGGTCTGCACAAATTGCCTTTTACAAGACTATATCACTAAAAGTAAACCTTTAAAACAATATATGTATTGCTTACAAAAAACTAGTGACACACTCCGATTGCTCTTGTGCACAAGGGATATGCACCCTGGGCATAAGCTAACCTCTCCTAAACACCCTTATTCTTGTCAGCCCCATCTTTGCTGAAAGTGCACGTTAATTATTTCATTGACCAGAATTCTGGCCATTGAAATGAATTAACGCTTGATGCGCCTAATGTTAATGTGCATTTAAACATGTTTACACATTTTTTTAAGATTGGCTTAACTTTTGCTACATTTTGTTATGTTACAGCCTTATTCCAAAATGAATTAAATTAGTTTTTTCCCTCAAAGTTCTACAAACAATACCCCATAATGACATCGTGAAAGAAGTTCATTTTGAAATCTTTGCAATTTATTAAAAATAAAAAACGAAAACAACCACATGTACATAAGTATTCACAGCCTTTGCCATGACACTCAAAATTGAGCTCTGGTGCATCCTGTTTCCACTGATCATCCTTGAGATGTTTCCACAACTTGATTGGAGTCCAACTGGGAAATTCAGTTGATTGGACATGATTAGGAAAGGCATAAACCTGTCTATATAAGGTCGCACAGTTAACAGTGCATGTCAGAGCACAAACCAAGCCATGAAGTCCAAGGAATTGTCCGTAGACCTCCGAGACAGGATTGTATAAGGCACAGTTCTGGGGAAGGGTACAGAAAAATTTCTGCAGTATTGAAGGTCCCAATGAACACAGTGGCCTCCATCATCCGTAAATGGAAGTTTGGAACCACCAGGAATCTTCCTAGAGCGGGTTGCCTGGGCAAAATGAGCGATCGAATAGCCAGGGAAGTAACCAAGCACCCGATGGTCACTCTGAAAGAGCGTTTCTCTGTGGAGAGAGGAGAACCTTCCAGAAGAACAACCATCTCTGCAGCACTCCACCAATCAGGCCTGTATGGTAGAGTGGCCAGACGGAAGCCACTCCTCAGTAAACGCAAATGGCAGCCCGCCTGGAGTTTGCCAAAAGGCACCTGAGGGACTCTCAGACCATGAGAAACAACACTCTCTGGTCTGATGAAACAAAGATTGAACTCTTTGGCCTGAATGCCAAGTGTCATGCCTGGAAGAAACCAGGCACCGCTCACCACCTGGCTAATACCATCCCTACAGTGAAACATGGTGGTGGCAGCATCGTGCTGTGGGGATGTTTTTCAGTGGCAGGAACTGGGAGACTAGTCAGGATTGAAGGAAAGATGAATGCAGCAATGTACAGATACATCCTTGATGAAAACTTGTTCCAGAGCACTCGGGACCTTAGACTGGGGCGACGGTTCATCTTTCAACAGGACAATGACCCTAAGCACACAGCCCACATAACAAAGGAGTGACTATGAGCCCACTCTTTAAATGTCCTGCAGTGGCCCAGCCAGAGCCCAGGCCTGAACCTGATTGAACATCTCTGGAGAAATCTGAAAATGGCTGTGCACCGATGTTCCCTATCCAACCTGATGGAGCTTGAGAGGTGCTGCAAAGAAGAATTGGAGAAATTGCCCAAAAATAGGTGTGCCAAGCTTGTACCATCATACTCAAAACGAGTTGAGGCTGTAATTGGTGCTAAAGGGGCTTCAACAAAGTATTGAGCAAAGGCTGTGAATAGTTATGTACATGGGGTTTTTTCACATTTTTTTATTTTTAATAAATTGCAAAGATTTCAAAACGAACTTCTTTCATGTTGTCATTATGCAGTATTGTTTGTAGAATGTTGAGGAAAAAAATGAATTTAATCCATTTTGGAATAAGGCTGTAACATAACAAAATGTGGCAAAAGTTGAGCGCTGTGAATACTTTCTGGATGTGCTGTATAGACTAACATGGAGGGACCCCAGATGCCCCTAAAAGCAGCGTTAAAAGCTTTGTGTGTGCATGATCCCTAAATGTATTATTTCAACCCCCCCCCCCCCCACCGCACCCATTTGCCGACCCTGCCTTCCTTTTTGTAGGAGAGGGTAGATATTCATTTAGAAAACCAGAAAAATGGTTGTCCAAATAAATTTTCCAGCTCTTGACAATTGCAGCGATACCATATATGTGTATGTTATTTGTTGTTTGTACCCGTAGTACAGCCCAGAAACAATCTTGCACATTTTGTTTTTTTTTGTTTGTTTTTTTACCTAAAACACATTGACACTGATACCAATTTTTTTTTTATCCTGACCTTTGACCCTAACCTTGACCCAAACACTTACCCTGGCATTAAACTTTTTTTTTTTTTGCAAACATATTTTTCCCCTCTATGCCAGGAGTTAGACTATGTATCTCCTCCAATCATAGAGAGCGGAAAAAAAAAAAAACAAGGGGGCTGGGCTGTATAGTGACTGATCACTGTGATAGACAATCAGAGGCTATCACAGTGATCATGTGTCCCGGAATCGGGAGTCACGGGTCCTGATCGTTAGAACGAGACCCAGGGCTCTCAGTGACACCGCAGTCTTTGTGCTGGGAGGGCACTGTGCGGCGCGCTCCCAGCAGAAAGACAGGTGTACAAATATGTGCCCCACAGAAAAAAGCCCAATTCTGTGAGGCCTCATATTTGTGTTACATCGGCGTCAAGGGGTTAAAGAAACTGAGAAATTTTGACCACAGAGCCTTTGATGATATGGTGTTATATTTGTTGTCTGTAGACTTTGAATTTATACTGGATGAGAATAAAAAACCAATTTCCTACATGGACCTAAACCTGCTTTCTGCTGATGTTTCCAAACCGCAGTTTGGGATTGGCGGTACGATGCAGGAAAATAAACCTTTGCCACCAGGAGCTCAAAGGTCAGTGACCAGAGAAGTTAGTTTTGTTTCCCTATTAAAGCAGATCTCAAGCCTGCCAGTTAAGGAGAATTCCACTGTTTTAAAAAAATAAATAAATAAATAAATAAATATGCCCATATTGCAAAAATGTGCATTTACTTACTTATTTTTTTAATTGGAGTCTTCAGTGCATTGCAGTCACAACCAGTGGATCATGGGTGCAATGTGGCTCCTGTAGACATCGTCCTCGAGCTCAGGTCTGCACTGAGGTACAGACCTTTGGTTACAGAACTGAAGTATTAATGGACTACAAGTGCAATGATGACCCTTTGCTGTAGTGCAAATGGGACTTGTAGTCATATGTGAATGAATGATGCAGCTGTGCAGACACAGCCACAGACAGCCGTGCCAAATTGAGGTGGCTGCATTTGTTTCCTTTTTTAGGCTTGTTTTCCTCTGTTTTCACCTGGTGATCTAGCCAGTAACACAACTCCTGTATTAGAGTCCCTCACTCTGGGTGAAGAAGCACAAGGGACACAGCAAACAGCAACACTGACAGTCTGTGGGGGGAGGGTAATGTTAAATTTACTAGCAGATTTAAATACAGTAACAAGTTGATGCCAAATTCCAGATCACACTTTATAATTAGTTACAGCAAACATTTTTTTTTCCTTATGAGATAAAGGTTTTACATATAACAAGCTGATCATTTTATGCACCCCTTCCAGTGTTGAATGGGTAGCCCCTTCCCTTTAAACTGATGCATCTGGAAGAGAGCTTGTTCCTTTGTAAAACAGACAAACTGGCCAGATCACCAGATTAAAATAGAAGAAAGCAAGCCTAAAAATGCAAATAAATGCAGCCACCACATCTAAAAATAGTTAAGTTGCAATATAATGTTTGCTTTAGGGTTTAATACTGCCTTATCCCTCAGATTATACTGCTGCCTACAGGAAGATTAAACACTGGCAAACAAATTGTAGGCCATTCAAGGATAACTCCTTCCACTACCAGGATGTCCAAAGTAGTAAGAATAGATGCCAATTCAACCTTCAATGTCCTTCAATCAACTCCAAGAAAAGTATTTTATGCCAAGTACAAAAATCCTATTTTCTTTCTTGTCCGTTGAAGGACACCAGAAGTTTTTTTGTTTTACCTTGGTAATGTCCAAAAGCAGTTCAACTAAGGGGTGGGCTGCAGCAAACAAATGTTAAAGCCTAGTTTACACTTGCAGTTGGGGATTGGTAAACGTGCCAAAATCCCCCTTGAGCTGCAAAGGCAGCTGAGGGGATGCACATATGCTGCGATACACCAAATGTGACCCATTTGACTGAATAGGGAAGCTGATGTGGGGTTTTAAGGGGTTAAAACAGGCAGATAATAATGCCTCCTCACCACCTGCCTAATGCCCTTTGAAAAGAGATCCAATGTGGATCACTCTACAGAGGGCAATGCAAGTGTAAAGAGGCCTAACAGGCCCCAAAAAACAGAAGATAAATGGGGATTGCCCACAGCTTAAATAGCCTGCTGAAGAACCTTACATCTGAAACGGGTATCAGATGAGGCTGCAGTGTCCATCTGGTAGAACTTTGATAAGTGTGAACAGAAGACCAGGTGGCCTTGCAAAACTTGGGAAACAGTCGCTTGATGCCGAAAAGCCAGATCTAGTAGAGTGCACTTTGATGAGAATAGGAGGATACTTGAGACCATAAGCTTGAATGATGGTCTGCCAGACTAATCTAAAGATGGTGGAATGAGAAACAGGTGCAACTTTTCTGGGTCCATCCGGAATCACAAAAAGGAATCCGTCTTCTTAAAAGAAACGGTGGCTGTGAGGTAGTTTCTTACAGCTCGAACCACAGACAGTGTTGGGAAGTTTCCTTTTGGTGAACTTGAGCCAGACAGAGGAACCAAAGAACTCAGTTGAGGTAAAAGACAAAAACTGCCTAAGGCAAGAAGGAAGTCCCGAGGCCTCAATAAAAACCATGTCACTATGTAGAGCCAGAAAACGTTCTTTGCAGGATAGAGCTGGCAGCTCAGACTAGCAGAGGTGAAATGCTGTCTTTTGGGTGAGAGCGGAGAGAGGAAAAAATAAACGTTTCTCTGAACACAGCAGAACTGTAGAAAAGGTGTCTATCCTTCTCTGACACTAGCAAAAGTGGGAGGAGTTATCCTGGGCCGGATTAAAGTATTGTTTGCCAGTGTCCATTCTTCTGTAAGTGGAGGTACAGTATGACCTAAAGGTTAAATCTGAACTCCAACTTTAGTGAAGTTTAAATAATTTGTTTGAACTAAGCTAGTCCAAAAACAGTATTACCTTCACTAACACATGCAGTGGCTGTGAACACTCTGTAAAACTGTGTCTAGCTTCCAGCAAAGGGACGTGAACTTCCCCAATAAAAGAATACAATGAATAAATACAAAGTTTCCTCTGGTTGGCTGAAGCAGGGAGGCGGCGGATGATGTCACGATCTCAACTTCGTCCAATCACAGGCATCTTTTTATTCATTCATGCAATACAAAGCTCCCTGTAAATTGGCCTGACTCAGTTTTGTTCTGAGAGCAGGACAGGAAGTTCCTGTACCTTTGCCAGATCACAGCGCTGTATAATGTAGCTGAGGCTACGTATAGTTTTTACACGTACACAGCCGCTGCACCTGTTAGGTAATAGTTTGTTTGGACCAGCTTGGTCCAAACTACAGTATTTTCTGGTGTATAAGACTACTTTTTATACTTAAAAATATACCCCAAAAATTGGGGGTCCTCTTATACGCGGGGTATAAAATGTGAACCTTGAGTTTGTTGTGCAAAAAAATAAATGAGTGTACTTGTGAGCTACTATGGTGTTTGTCTAAACTATTACCATTAATTAATTTGACAAACAAAACACAATATATGATACACCTGTGGTTCGCTGGCACTCACACCTACTCATTAGACAGTGTTCTGTGAGAAAATGAAATATATAAATTGTGCCGCGCTCCTGTGTATAAATAATTACAATATTCACTATTTCAAATGACAATCCAAAGTTAAAAAAAAAATATATATATATATATGAAAAAATAATAAAATTATATATATACTTATATCTAGTGTATAAAATACAATTATCTTCTGCTTATAACATCATAAATAAATACCGCATACTGTGCTGGTGACAATAGTAAATAGTGATAAAAACAATATATATGAAAAAGTGCTCATAGACAGTCCTCTTTCAATTTAAATTATGATGGTGCAATCCCATAAGCCACGTGCAGTGTGATTTTATTATGCGCTCACCTCAGGTTTTGCCTTATAAAAAGGCAAAACTAGCTTTTTGTCCTTATAGGACTGCTGGGATGATCCTCCTGCTTAGGATATTCCTGATGGCAAATGGGATAATTATGCTCGATCTTAATCCACCTGGGATCTCTGGAGTGATTATGCCTGCTGCTGATCAGGATTTGATGGCTGGATGGATATTTCGCTTTTTCTTCCAAAGGTCTCCTTTCTCCTATACTGATTTCTCTCCAATATATCACAGGATGATTGTATGAAGAAACAAAACCATCATAGTGCTTTATCCTTTTAAAATTAAGGCTTTATTTGCTGCTGCAAGTTCCATACAGAGTTTTTAGCATAGGCTTCAGAGTAAGGCAGTTTCAGCCTGTCCTGCAGTTTCTGCTATGCTTGCCGTGCTGTGCTGTGTCCAAGACAACGTCGTGATATCAAAGCCCCTCCCCTACGCGTTACGTCACCGGGTCACGTGACTTCATCAGGGGGATATGATTCCCCTGTATATATATCATTTTATTATTTTTTCATATATTTTTTTTTTTTTTTTTTACTTTGGATTGTCATTTGAAAATTGTGAATATTGTAATTATTTATACACAGGAGCGTGGCACAATTTTATATATTTAGGTGAACCTTGAGTTTGTTTGGGTCAAGCTGGCTGGATGTGTGGTAATACTGTACATACAGTATACCGTGCTGAGCCAAGCTGGCTCAAAACAAATGTCCCTATGACAGATTAATCTGTCAGCCCGCTGGATGTGCGGTATATACAGTATACTGCGCTGAGCCAAGCGGTTTCAAAACGTACCGGTACGTCCCTACTATAATTTTGGCTGAGTCAGAGAGGTGGGCTGATGATGTCACAACCTCAGCCAATCCGAGCAGGCTTTGTATTCATTAGTAGAATACATCGCTTGCCTTGATTGGCCCAGTGTATACTGTATGTAGCCGCAGCTACCGTACATGCACGCATCCAGCGGGTTGATTACAGTAGGGACGTACCGGTACATTTTGAAACAGCTTGGCTCAGTATACTGTATATACCACAGTGGTATATACTCAGTATACTGTATATACCACACATCCAGCGGGCTGACAGATTAATCTGTCATAGGAACATTTGTTTTGAGCCAGCTTGGCTCAGCGCGGTATACTGTATGTACATTACTGCACATCCAGCGGGCTGTATATATACTGTATGTAGCCGAAACTACCATATTACCGCACATCCAGCGGTAACCATCTGATTTGGAATGTGATCCATATGATGACTGTCTTACAAATGTATCACAAGATGTCATTCATGAACTTATGTTGTCAGAGGATGAACATGTGGATTTTGAAGGATTTTAAGTACCGGTAAGTCATAACCATTTCAATTAAAAAATCTGATGTTTTTAAATGGTGTTGCCTCGGAAGGGGGGTAGTCTTATACGGCGAGTATAGCCCAAAACCTATGTTTTAACTGGAAAATTAGGGTGTCATCTTATACACCCAGTCGCCTTATACGCCGAAAAATACGGTATTTAAACTTTACTAAAAGCTGGAGGTCTACTTTAAGGAGGTCCTCTGTTCCTCAGTGGATGAGAGAAATAAAATTCAAAGATGTGTATTTTTTGTTCATGTAAATTGTCTTTGCTGAGAAACAGAACACACTGGTTGTACCTGTTTCTTTCCCCTATGTAACTGTAAAAACAGAGCATATGAATGAGTTAACTTGAAATATGTGGGAGTGCCATGTGAGCAAAACCTCAGAAAAATAACATTCTGTTATATATTACTTTGTAGTATATTTTCCACTGATGCATACTTTCTCGGTCAGGGTTTTTGAAACCCTAGGATTCCTCAAGAGAAGTTCTTGCTTTTCCACTGAACACTAGTGTATTGGGGCCTTTCTCCAATGACCACTAAGCTAGGAAGTTGGTTGATCTTTGCTGACGACCAATGTAGTTGCACACTTTGCTGGCCATCATTATCTTATTGGGGCACTATACTGACCACCAGGGTACCGGGTCAGGGTGTCAAATACATTGAGAGTGCCACTTTCCTTATGCTTTTACAATTACATTGGTAATTTGCTCTTAATGCTGATGCCCCTTGAGCTGTAGTTATAATACTGTAATTGTTAGCAGGGGTTCCCTAAAACCTGAAAATTATTTCAAGGGTTGCTTCATTTTAAGAAGGTTGAAAAAGGCTGCTCGAGTGGCTACACATATTCATGAGAAATGTAATTAAAATATGTCTATCTGTTCTTATTTAAAGTACATTAATAACATTGTTTTTAATATTGTCAGGGTTGCTGTGAATGTTCTTTACCCAGGAGAATACTGCAGAAACTCTTTCCATACTAAGGGATCGATGGCAACGAAGAAGAGACATCTAGAAATTCTAGGATATCATGTGATTGAGGTAAACAAAACTTGTCATGATCTAGGTAAACAAGCTTTATCCTAAAAGATGCAGGCTAGAACTTTAGCTTTGTGCATGCGTGGAAGTGATGGACCAGAGGTAGCCTGATGTAAACAAACACAAGATATCTTAAACAAAACAACCTCTTGAGTGCGGTGCTTAAAGTTGAGCTCCACCCAAAAGAGGAAGTTCCGCTTTAAATACTGGTCTCCCGCTACCCGTGAGGAATTTGCATCTGTGGGGGGTGGCGGATACCAGATTTTGACAGGTACCCACTCCCACTGCGATCACCTAAGCCAGTGTTTCTCAACCTTTTTGCCTTTGGGGAACCCTTGGCAACAGGACTGGAGATCTCGGGGAACTCCTGAAAAAAAAAATGTCACATCTACAACGCACGGAACATTGGATCTGATCAGCGAGCTGTAGATATAAGAGCAATTAAGAAACCGTATCAAATAATAGATTAAATATTTAAAAAACTTACCTCCTTTATGTGAAACTTAGGCTTGCTTTTTTCTGCACAGATGCTCAATTCTGGGTCAAACTTTAGAAAAGCACACACGAATTTCATCTTCAACTGAAATTAAGCGATTTCTTTCCTTGCTCTTGATGCTTATTAAACAGGAAAAAGCTTGCCTACACATGTAGGAAGTAGAAAATTGCAGCAAAACATTTAAAGCCTTTCTGTACATGGCAGGATACTCTTCTTTGACTGAAATCCAGAATTTGTCCAAGGATACATCATCAAACCTCATCCTGAGGGTACAGTCAGACTGTAGATCACAAATTTCTTCCTGTTCTTTTAAACTCAAGTTCTTTGACTGAACAGAAGACTCAGAGAAAGGGCTCCTCACCCAATCATGCATTTGTGTTGAAAGAGAAGGAAAATAATCAATTTTGCGCTGCAGTACATCTAAGTGGCTTTCAACTAGACTTGAAACTTGCTGGTATCCTTCCTCACTTCCAAGGCCAAGCAACATAGGAAATATCTCCAGATTTCCTTTAAAAACATAGCTTTTCCAAAGATTCAATTTCCTTTTAAATCCAAGTATCTTGTCACTTGAAAGCACAATATTTTCTCCAGAACCTTGCAGAGACTTGTTGAGCAGGTTTATGTGGTTAAAAATGTCAACTAAGTATGCCAGTTTCTGCAGCCATTCTTCATCTTCAAAGCACTCCGCAAAATTTGACCTACTAATTTCTTGAAAGTACTCTCTTAGTTCTTCTTTCAGCTCAAACACTCTGTGGAGAACTCGTCCTCTGCTAAGCCACCTGATTTCTGTATGTGTGAAAAGAGTTACGTGGTCCTTCTTCATGCTTTCACAAAGTTTTTGAAACATTCTTGAGTGAACTGGTCTTTGTTTAATAAAGTTCACCATTTTTGTTGCATCATCCAGAACACTTTTCAGTTCTGCATCAAGAGTTTTGGACGTGAGCACCTCTCTATGAATAAAGCAGTGTGTTGTGACACATTTTTTTTTTTTTTTTACAAGTGAGGAAAAGCCTTTCATGGACCCAACCATGAATGGGGCACCATCAGTACAGATTCCAACACATCCATTCCAAGACAGGCCTTGTGATTCCAGATAGGCAGACAAAACATTAAATACAACTTGACCCTTGGTTGTTTCAGGCAGCTCTTTGCAGCAGCAGAAGTTTTCTTAAATTTGACCACTATTTTCAAATCTTATAAGTGCTACAAGATGGCATGCATTGGAGATAGCAGTGGACTCCTCAACCCGGATAGGGAAGCTGTTTTTTCTCAGGATATCACACAAGACCTCTTCCACATCATGTGACATGTCATCAATACGCCCATTTCTTGTACTCCATTTCATTTACTGAAGTTGCTCCTAGCATGTGATTTACAATAATTTTACATCCTGGCATTATTATTTTCTCACCAACTGTGTGACTTTTTCTTTTCTGGGCAATAATTTCTGCCACCAAATAGCTTGCTTCCTGAGCCTTTTAACTAATGGAGACTTTTTTTTAACAAAAGCTGTACTTTGCTTGCTTTGAGATTCCAATAGACGTTTGAAATAATCAGCACCTTTAGATACCAAATGGCTGTGGTTTGTAGTAAAGTGTCTTTTCAGTTTTGCTGGAGCCATTGCTGTATTTGTAAGTTGTTTGCCACAGATAAGGCACAATGGAATTGGGCAATGTGTATCACCTGTCCATGAAAAACCCATAGTTAGGTAACTTTCACTGTAAAGGTGGACTTTTTTGGGGTCAAGTACTGTGCTGATTCATGCAAAGGACTCAGAATGTTGTAATTCTTCCTCACTAGCCTTCTCAGAATTTTTGGTAGTAGAAGATTAAGGTATACTATCCTCCTCTTGTACGTCACTCTTCCTCCTTACAAAACGCCACATTGGACCTTGAGCCATTTTGTTTTTAACACAACTAATAAAAAAAACACAATGGTATACTTCTGTAAGTCAACCACACTATCACTAAAACAACTGTGCATTAAATAGCAAAAGTCTTTCTGCAATGCAATTATTGCATACATCTGGTTCCCAACGCTAAACTTACACTGTTGTGCAAAAATGTCAACAGTTGAAAGACCCAACTTATGGGCATCTATCTCTGCAAGTGCACACATGCGACTTTTTTTTCTGTGTGCATAGGCTCAGTACAATGTGGAGGTCATCAGGGCACAGTACAATGTGGAGGTCATCAGGGCACAGTACAATGTGGAGGTAATCAGGGCACAGTACAATGTGGAGGTCATCAGGGCACAGTACAATGTGGAGGTAATCCGGGCACAGTACAATGTGGAGGTCATCAGGGCACAGTACAATGTGGAGGTCATCAGGGCACAGTACAATGTGGAGGTCATCAGGGCACAGTACAATGTGGAGGTCAGGGCACAGTACAATGTGGAGGTCATCAGGGCACAGTACAATGTGTGTCCTGTTCACAGCACAACACTGGTATCATGTACGGCGCATTTTTTTTCTGCACAGAAATCTGCAACATATGCGGGCCACATTTTGCTCGGGCATGAGAGCCCATTCAGTTGACTGGACACCCGTGCCCGTGACACGCAAGGAAGAAGTCACTGCACTTCTTTGGACGATGCAGCCCACCTGGGAACCTCGGTTCTCAGTACGGTTGCGTTTCCCAATGTGGGTGGCATGCCAGTGCGGGTGGTGCGGCTGCACGGATTTTTGTGTAGATCAACAGCGGCACCACTTGCACAGATGTGAACCTAGGGTAAAGTAAGCAGCTACAGTTTTTGTAGCTTTGACTGGAGCTTCACTTTAAGAACCACTTTAATGCACTGGCTGCTTCCCCGGCTTCCAAATATAGCGCTGACATGCCTTGCTGCCCACTTTAGGACTTGTGAGTATCCTTTCTTGCAACACTACAAAACAGAGGGCGCACTGGCCTATCTTAACTGTCAAACAATTTTACGAATAGGTAAAACCAAGAGATATACTAGCAAACGCACACAAAAAGTGAGCATCAGATAAGACTGCCTCCATATCCACACTGCTCAACTGTTAACATGGGAAGACTCTTCAGCATCCTATACAGATTACGCGAGGGGCAAACACTCTTCTTCAGAGCTTTTCATGTGTGTTTGTAATACGCTAGACAAGTTAATTTACACTTGGCAGCCCATAGATCCAACACGGGTCTATTGTACAAATTCATACAAAAGCATTTGAGAACTTCTGTGCCGTTCTGCTCTGATTCAGCAGGGAATCTGCTCATGGATCCCTGCAAAACGTGCTTATGTGAAAGGACACATGGGGGTTTATTTACTAAAGCTGGAGAGTGCAAAATCAGACTCACTTCTGCATCGACACCAGTCAGCTTCCAGGTTTTGTTGCCAAAGCTTAATTGAACAAGCTGAGGTTAGAAGCTGATTGTTGTATATGCAGAAGTGAGCTTGGTTTTGCACTCTCCAACTTTAATAAATAAACCCCTTTGTGTGTTTTTGCTGCTGCATTTTTTTTAATGTGTTAATTTAACCCCTTAGTGACTGAGGGTAAAACAAATGTTAATTTCTTGGTAAATGGTAAATCTGGAACCTGACCAAAATTAGTAAAAAAAAACCAAACTTTTTTTAAATTTAGCTGTATATTTCTTTCTATTAACATAACCTACCACCACCAAAGAATAGCCCAAGATAAATCCTGCTCTTGACACAAATGTGTGTATTATTTATTTGTACCCGTAGTAGAGCCCAGAAATAGTAGTGCACTTTTTGTGGGTTTTTTTTTTTTTTTGGTTTTGGGTTTTTTTGGGGGGTAATCCTACCTAAAACATACTGACATAACTGATGCTATTACTAACTTAAAAAAAGTTTTTGGTTTTTTTTTAAAAAATGCCCCCCAAAAAAATACTGATCATGACCTTTGACCCTTGACTCAGACACTAACCGTTTCCTTGACCTAGATCATACCATGATCTAGCTATTTGTTCTTTATTTTATTTCTTTTTTTTACACACATTTGTTTGTTTACACATCTCCCTGCAAGGAGAGAGACACACAATTTATATCTCCCCCTATTCAGAGACAAAGTAAACACAGGGGTTGGCTGCACAGTGACTGATCCCTGTGATAGCCAATCAGAGGCTATAACAGCGATTGGGTGACTCAGAACCAGGAGTCCCGGGTGCTGATTGTTAGTACGGGACCCAGGGCTCCCTGTGAGAGCCTGGTCTCTGTGCTGGGAGCACGCTGTGTGTCACACTCCCAGCACAAAGGCAGATACGCTAATATGTGGCCCCATGTTAAAAAAAAAAAAAAAAAGCCCAGCCCAGTGAGGCCACATATATGCGTACTCTCTGTGGGAAAGGGTTAATTATGAAAAAGTTAACTAATGCATAGTATTACAAAGAATGTTTCATGTGGCTCAAATACTAATTATTTTTGTTTTTGTCTTTCTAGATCCCTACTACTGAATGGAATTCAATGGACCTGGGAACAAATGAGCGCTGGCTAAATTATCTCAGGAAAAAGATCTTTACTGATGAACTTTGATATTTTATTTAGATATGAACATATTTTTATTAAAATAAAGTTGTGCCTTTGTAGAATAAGATTAAGATTTTTACTCATCAGAACAATTGGTCTCTATTAGTGTATGGTATTTTTTAGGTTAGCGAATGTTTTTATTAGGAGTTGTATACCTCTCCTCTTTACAGTTGTCAATGGGCCACTGAGTCTCCTGCTGATCAAATGATCTTCTAAGGCCTTGTTCACATGGGTGCTGAGGCCTTTTTCAGCTTTCATAGCCTCCACGTGCTGCATGCAGGCAGCCTCATCAAGTTAGTTAGGATGCAGCGGCTGTACACACACACACAGCTGCTTGTCTGCATGTGAGATGTGTGCAGCCCCGATCGCACACTGTGGGTGTTCAGGGCTGCTCACCCACTCCGAGTAGGAAAACAAAGGCCTCTACATTGTTACAGCAAAGGGCTCTTTCTCCTTACCCTGACTCCATGGGGTTGGGGTTTACATTGACCCTTGCAGGGACTGGGCACTTCTAGAGGTACAGTGATGGATGGGGTTCAGTAGTAGTAGTAAAGGCCATACTGGCCCAGTGCAAACATTGTGCTGGCACCATAGATGAGAGCTATACCCTGCTGAGGTTAGAGTTGCCTTACACAGCTTCTGATTGCTTTAACACCTTCCCGCCTGGCCTATAGCAGATTGACAGCCTGGCGGGACACTCGCGTTGTGACTGGGGGTCAAATGACATCCTATCAAAACGAGCCGCTGACACGCCCATTGCCAGTGTCATGTGACAGCTGTGACCAATCACAGCAAATCACATGTCAATTGTATACAATGCATGGCTTTCTGTCATGCCATCCATTGTATACAATTATGTTGTTAGGTTTGACTGGTCAAGGCAGTCACATGATACAGACAGGGCCAATCACAGCCCATCTGTATCATGTGATCAGCTTTGCCCAATCACAGCTAATCACAACAAAAGACTGAATTAATCAGTTTCATCAAGTAACAATGATTGCAAATATCAATGAAATACATTGGTATTAGCAATCATAATGTGTTAAAAAAAATCCTGTTCACTTGCCCAGAGTAGTTCAATGTTACTATGGTAACATTGTAGTGCTTTGCTCACAGTGTGCTGAAAATTAAAATAGTAAAAAAAAGAAAAAATGCAATAAAAAAAATTGAAAATTGAAAAAAAAAACCAAAACAAATTATTATCATTATTTTCACCGAAGAAATGTAGCAGAATACATTTTGACCTAAGTTCATGAAGAAATGTTATTTGCAAAATTTATGTAACAGAAACAAAGAAAATTGTGGGGGTTTTTTTCAAAAGCTTTAGGTGTTTTTTGTTTTGTTTAGCAAATAATAAAAAACTCAGTGGTGATTAAATACCACCAAAAGAAAACTCTATTTGTGTGAAAAAAATGCTGTTGCATGACCACGCAATTGTCATTCAAAGTGCAACAGCACTGAAAGCTGAAAATTGGCCTGGGCAGGAAGAGGGTATAAGTGCCTGGTATTGAAGTGGTTAATCAAGCTTTATACAGTAGACACAAATGTTTCCCAGTACTGTACACCAATATAGTGAATCACAAAATGGCTTCAGCTGGCTCTCCACCCATCAAGAAAGCCCCTCTTGCTTATTTCACCAGTGTAGGGCTTAATCATAGAGGCCACTGTGATTAAAGAATAAGTTCACCTTTGGAACATGTTACATGTTCTACTCGTTTATAGGGTGGAACATGTAACATGTTCCCATAGCCGCAGCCACGCCCACCACCACCCCCGTGCGGGACTCCGCTCACGCGGCTGCGTCACTCATTCAGTGTTCTGTGAATGAGTGCCTACACATCCTGACAGCCTTCGCTGTGGGCTTGCAGTTTTCAATTAACTACCACGACGCTGTGGTAGTTCATTGAAGCTTCCTGTCAGTATATCTGCTTGTGCGTACATCCTGTACGACAAGCAGATATTCTGACAGGTCTGCAGGAGACCTTCATGGCATCAGCGATCTACTGATCGCTGGTGCAATGCTTTACAGGCTCCTTTGGACAAAAATAATAAATGCACATTTTTTTACCTGCAAAAAAATGTGCATTTATTATTTTGGTCCAAAAGGTGAACTTATCCTTTAAGCCCTGCATGGAATAAACATGTTAGAGGGTCTTTCCCAATGGTTGGAGAGCCAGCTGAAGCTGGTTTATGATTCATTATATTGGTATGCAGTCCTGGGAAACAGGATGCAGGCGGATGCAACAGGTGCCCTGGTGGCACCTTGGAGTCAGTATCGTCTCCTCTATGCATTCACTCCTCTCAAGCTTCTACCCCACCTGCTGCGAAGGATAGAGGCCGAAGACATTCTGGTGGCTCTGGATTGGCCCCGCCGCTCTTGGTATGCCGACGTGGTGCGGTTGGTCGTGGATGTCACTTGGTGGCTACTGCTTAGGTCAGATCTTGTTTCAAGGGCCGATCTTCCACCCCATCACTGGCTATAACCGCTTGACTATTGAAAGCCAGGTTCTAAGAGAGGGGACTGTCAGAGTCAGTGATTCCTACCATGCTAAAAAAAGCATGGAAGTCTACTAGGAAGATATACCATCACTCCTGGAAGGCATATATTTCCTGGTGCGAGGCTGCGAGAGTTCATCCGCGTTCCTTTTTGGTGGCTAGGATTTTATCCTTTCTGCAACAAGTGTTGAGAAGATGCTGGCATTAATTACTATCAAAGGCCAGGTCTTTCAATGTTTTCTAGCCTTGCACTTCTTGACCCATGCATTCATTCAAGGGCTGAGGCATGTGGTACCTCTGGTGTATTCCCCGTTACTGCCGTGGGACCTGAATCTGGGTGTCTTTGTCCTCCAACAGCCTACTTTTGAGAATATTTGGGATATTCCCTTGCTAACGCTGTCCCAGAAGATGGCATTTTTAGTGGATATAACTTCAGCCTGCAGAGTGTCGGAGTTGGCGGTCCTTGTCCTGGTGGTCTCCTTATTTGGTGGTTCATAAAGATAAGGTGATTCTTCATCCATGCCCTTATTTTCTCCTGAAGGTGGTCTCTGTCTTTCATTTGAACAAGGAAAATGCCCTACCTTCTTTACGTCTGCACCTGTCACATCCCAAGGAGTTCGCCTTGCACACCTTGGATGTGGTTTGGATCATTTGGGTGTATCTGTCTGCTACAGAGTCCTTTCGCAGGCTGGGTTCCCTTTTTGTGATCATGGATGGGCCGAGGAAGGGTCTGCTGGTATCCTCTGCCACCATTTCTAAATGGATTAGGCAGATGATGGTGCAAGCTTATGCTATTAAGGGTCAGGTTCATCCCTTTCCAGTAATGGTGCACTCCACTAGGGTACCAAGTGCTTTTGGACCTTCCATCATCAGGTGTCTGTGTCTCAGATTTGCAAGGCAGGTACCTGGTCGTCCGTGCACACCTTCACTAAGTTCTACAAGGTGGAAGTCTTGGCTGGTTGTTGGATATGTGTTTTGGTCGCAAAGTATTGCAGGCGGCAGTTGAGGTTTTGTTTCCTCCTGGGGGGGGGGGGGGGGGGTGTATTTTCTGGTTGGGCTCCTGTTGGCCTGTTTTTTTGTCTTTGACTGTTTGGCCCGGGTTCCCCACCCCTCAGTTGTTGGCACTGCTTTGGGCCATCCCTTTGGTTAAGAATAGAAGACTCTGTGTCCGTCAATGAACGTAAGAATAATCAGATCATGCACCTGTTCTAGTGAAATTAAAATGGAGAAAGGAAGAAAATAGAAGTAACACGTGGAAATTAAATGAAACACTACTTCAAGACCCAGAGGTGGAGATAAGATTAGGGAAAGAGATTGAGCAGTTCTTTACGCTCAATGAAACGGAAGGGATTTCTCTGGTGACAATCTGGGAAGCTCATAAGGGGTATATCAGGGGCATTTTGATCTCAATAGGAGCTCAAAAAAAAAAAAGAACGAAAGGGAGAAGAAAATAAAATTGCTAACTAAAGAATTATATGATTTAGAACAACTACATAAAAAGAAAATAGATGTAGGGACACAACAGAAGATAATTTTGAAGAGACGAAAGACATCATGGAACAAGATACTAGAAGAGTTTTCAATAGAGTGGATAAAGAAAGGTATCAGTGGGGAAATAAACCAGGAAAATATCTGATGAGAAGAGTAAAGAGAGAGAAAAGGAATTATATAGAAAAAAATAAAAGATGAAAATGGTGGTGAAATGGTTTATTCAACCACTGATATAGCTAAAACGTTCCAAAAATATTATAATAAGTTATATGGTTTAAAACCCAGGGGAAAGAAAGAAAGAAAGAGGCAGCAATATTTAAAAGAAGCGGGATTGCCCAGGATAGAGGAAGAGAGATTGTTAGCATTACAAAAATTAATCTCCCATGAATAAATAAGGTATTGAGAAGTACAGCAACAGGAAAAATCCCAGGACCAGATGGTTTTATGCTGAAATATTACATGAAGTTTCAAAAACAGCTTATGCCCAAATCATGTAGATATATGAACGCATTGGGATAAGAGATGGATATGAGGGAGGAGTCTCTGCAGGCAAATATTACAGTTATACCAAAGGAGGGAAAGGACCCCTCCCAATTTTCTAGCTATAGACCAATATCACTCTTAAATATAGATACAAAACTATTCGCAAAGGTTTTATCAAACAGGATGAAAGATCTGATGGCGGATTGGATACATATCGATCAAGTGGGATTTGTTCCAGGGAGGGAGGTACGAGACAATGGATTAAGATCATTCCTCCTTTTGCAAAAAAGTATGAAAGAAAGGAGTTTGGTACTGATAATGTTGATCGACGCTGAAAAAGCCTTTGACAGGGTAGATTGGGGGTTCACGATGAGCACACTAGAAGCATTGGCTATTTGACATAAGATGATGCAGTGGATAAAAAAATTGTATAGCTTTCCTTCAGCCGCAGTGAAGGTTAATGGTTCATTATCACAATTCTTAAAAATGTATAACTGGACAAGGCAGGGTTGCCCTTTGTCACCACTACTTTT